AGAGTGTATTAGTAGGAATGGGTGGTCCACAAGTTATTAAATATGAAAATATTTTAATAAAAATAAATTTTTTTTTTTAGTGCTCGGATATTTTCTTCAGGGGAGTGTACATAGCAACTTCGGACTAATAGAATAAAATTTAAATGTCATATTGATAAGATAGTCAATGGCTTCAATTGTTGTGTTAATTAGTCCGGAGCGTAAGCGAAGGACTATCTACAGTGCGAGACAAAAGTAATCAGAATTTTAAAAAATGCAATAACTCAATAACTTATGATTAAAATTACTTCAAATTTTAAAATATTATTATTAAATATATAAGCATTATACGTAGAATTTTTTAGCTCTTTATCTTATTTTCTTATGCTGCAATTATCTTTTCAAATAAAATAAAATAAATAATGTTAAAATGTTAAACACGATTTTCTCAACATCTTATTTTTTATTTTATAATTCTAATTATGTTCTAAAAAATAAAAAAAAAAGTTTATTTAAATTGAAATAATGGATGCCAAGATATGTATAAAAACAAAAAACAAAAAATAAACAAATTGGTTTATAATGAAAAAAAAAGTAATTAAAATAATAAAAAATGCAATAACTTAATAACTAATGATTGAAATTACTTCAAATTTTGCAATTATATTAATAAATATATAGATATTATGAATAAAAAGTTTTAGCACTTTATCATTTTTTCTTATGCTACAATCATTTTTTAAAAAATAAATAAAAAAATTAAGTTAAATTAAATACAATTTTCTTAGTATTTAATGATTCTATTTATGCAATTTTTATATATTTTGTAGTTTTAGTTAAACTTTATAAAATAAAAAATTTTTGCATAAATTGAATCATTAGATATTAAAATATTTGTAAAATAAATAATTATATAAAATATACATTATATATTAAAATTTTAATTATATTTTTATTTTAATTGAAAAGATAATTGTAATATAAGAAAATAAGATAAAGAGCTAAAATTTTATATACATAATACTTATATATTTAACAATAGAATTGTAAAATTTTAATTATAAGTTATTGAATTATTGCATTTTTTTACAATTCTGATTACTTTTGACTTGCACTGTATGTATGAGTAATAATAATGAAAATGTCTATTTGTTCACTCGCTTAAAATTTGAATTGATATGTGGTTAGTCCCTTTTATTACACTAGTAGTGTTCTAGAACATGATAATATATTAATATATTATCATGTCCTAGGACACTACTTGCTCTAGACTATTATGTCCTAAGACGTCATAGTTTATTAATTAATATGTTCTAGGACATCATAGTCTATTGATTAATATGTTCTAGAACACCATAGTCTATTGATTATTTTGTTCTAAAGATGGGACTGTTTTCCCTTTCTGTGACCTGTTGGTTAGTAAATACGGATGAGATGTGTGCCTATTTGGTTGCCTGTTAAAATGCCAAATTGTAGTAAAAAAATATGTCAGGTGGCGCAGTAAATTCGTGATTAATTTTGGCCGGCATTATACCATAATTCTGGCAGATCTTTAAAACATGTGATTTGGAAATCCAGCTTGACACCATGATAGTAACCTGCTAGTATCCTAGAGCTGTCATAAAACTGGTGAGGAACTGGCCAAAATTATGGTATAGTGTTAACTGAAATGATTACAAGAGAGATACACTATGTATCTTGTTAGGAGAGTCATATGATAGTGTTCCCAAAGGGCTCAGTGACAGGTGATTCTTTACGCATGTATTGTTAAGAGAATCATATGATAGTGATCCCAGAGGGCTTAATATCAGATGACATCCAGTGTAAAAATATGCAATGTCAGGTGATCGTAATTTAGTGCACCTTAAATTCAGCCAGAATTATGAATTGGTATTAGTCAAAATTATCATAATTTACTGCGCCTTCAGTTTTGAGCACTTTCCCGTCACTTCCTCGTCACTTGTTCGCAACCTTCTTGTTACTTTTGAGGGATATTTGGGTCTCAGTCTGGTGTTTCAATTGGTTAGAAAATCGGAGGTACAATGTGGCGATAGTACAATACTAGCAATGCGGTACTGTCCCTAAGTACAATATACATCGAATACATACTAGTGATTGGGTATTCTTCTGCCAATATTTTTACGCGCTTGCCTACCTTAGATGTTATATATGCCCAGGTATACACTAGTAATAGGGTATTCTTCTTCCATTATTTTATATAAAGATTCTGAAGAAGAATACCCTGGATGATACCTATTAAGAATGCATTTATTCCTGGCCCCTTTAACATCTTGCTATACGTCTCTTTTTGCATTCATCGAAAAAAACTGTTGGAGACCATACCTAGGATATATCTAAGAAAAATGTAGCCTTCTTTCAATTTTTTATATAATAATTCTGAAGAAGGCTTCATATCATACTCAAGTACATATCTAATAAGAATAAGTCTTACGCAAAGACTATACCATTCCCAGGATATATTTAAGAAGATGAAGGCTTCTGCCATTTTTATATAATATAATTCTGCAAAAGTATTCATATCATACCTGGATGTATATCTAGAAAGGATAAGTCTTACGCGAAAACTATACCATACCTGAGTATATATCTAGAAAAGTGTAGCCTTCTGCCATTTTTATATAATATAATTCTGCAGAAGGCTACACTTTCAGATGCATATCTGTTTCCCTTTTATTTACGATTTACCTACTAGCTTGCTATATGTCTCTTTTTTTCAAAGGATGAAAAAATTAATTAAACATTTCAGAAATATATTGTGATATAATATCTTTACCTACTGTCGGCATGTATACCTCAACTATTTCTGACCAAACTGATCGAGGAACTCTCATCCGCTATGACAGCGCCAGCCCTTTAACCAGTGTTCTATTACGTAATGAGATCATAGCAGAATATGATAACGGGATAACTGCTATACTTCAACAAAGCCTATCTGACAAGCAACCCATACATTTCATGCCTACTGAAGTTAGTAATGATACCAAATATATAAATAGAGTCTCTACCTATATTTTACGCGTTAGTGGTTGGTTGATTAATGAGAAAAAGGCAGTCATAAATATTACAGGTATCTGACCTTTCTTTGATGTCAAAGTTCCTGAAGAGATGTCGTTATCTATATTTAAGGCCAAATTAGTAAGGATTCTATCTAATATTCTTAATAGCACATCAAAGTTTGAGATCAAAACTATTAGCGCTTATCCACTTCAAGGATACCATGCAAAAAAGAAACCATATGGGCTCTTTGCAATAGAAAGGGAGGAAACTACTAAAAAAATTTTTTTTAGCTTTATAAGCTAAATATTATTTTTTTAATAAAATAAGTTTAAATTTAACATTAACTTAAAAAAAATTTTTTTGGTAGTTTTCTCCCTTTCTATTGCAAAGAGCCCATATATCCGTGTGAGAACATGGAACCACTATGACCGGTATAATGCATTAAAAGCAGTCCGTGCTATTGGAATATGTACAGCCTCAGATGATATAAACTGCCAGTATTATTACCGCAAAATAGCCTGTGAAGAAAGATTGCCTCTTTCGAGTTGGGTAACGTTAAGTAATTATTCATATATACTATCAGAAAATTTATATCTCTTCTGAGTATCCGTGGGTAATTACAACTTAATAAGCGATGACGAGTACAACAATCTACTAATTTCTTCAACACTTACGAAGGATCGAACTCTGGTTCTCACATGAGATATAGAGACATATAGTTCGCTTGGACTAAGCAACTTCTCCACTGCACAGAGTGATGAATCCAACGTATTTATGATTTGCATGTCAGTCCATTGGAAAGATGACCCCAATCCACTAAAGCAAATCTATCTTGTAGATGTTGAAACTGCGTCAGATCCGCGTTAGACTACAATTATATGTGGGAATCAAGTAAATCTGTTAAAAGCCTTCGCCTTGTATTAGAAACTACTAGTCCCAGATATACAAATAGGTTTTAACGATTCACAATATGACTGGAGATTTATTGTAGAGAAAGCAAAAAAGCTAGGGGTTCTCGAATGGATGTACAATCAAATATCATTAAAGCCTTCAAGCCTCGAAAAAATTTCAAAATGGCAATATCAATATAGTGCAATAAAGGTCAATGATAGGGATTTCCATTCGAAGCATCTTAAAATCTCCGGATATGTAACTATTGATGTCCGACCATATTTTATGAAATTCTATCCTAAGGCTGAAAAGAGCAGTTTAGCATATTACCTAAAGGAGTGTAAACTCGATAACAAGCTGGATATGCCTTTCCATCGTATGTTTAAATATTATGAGAGAGCATTAAAAGAAACTAATGCTACAACGGCCAAGTAGATGCGTGAAGTAGCCGAATATTATATTATCGATGCTATTAGCTGTTAGCGGTTAATGGTAAAGCGTAATGCAATTAACGAGTATAGGGAGGTGGCATCCG